AAAAAAAAAAAAAAGAAAAAAAAAGAAACCCACATTCAAGCATTGGTATCAGTATAAACCGGAACAGACAGATATGTCTCCTGCTGCCCTCCTTCACTCATTGTCGTTGAGATTGATCTCCATGTTGGGGCCGGCAGGTTTGTTCAGGTCGAACGCCATCCTTACCGCCGGTTGATTCGGTTGGCTCAGATTGATCTCCATGTCTCGTGGAGGAGATTTATTCAGGTCGAACGCCATCCCTACTGGAGCCCCTTCCAGTACTATATCCTCATCCATGGCATCAACTTCTTCAATTCGGTCGGCCTCTGGAGCCCTTTCCACTTCAATTGAATAAGTCCCCAGCATCTTATTTAAGGGAGAAATTCTCACCGTGTCTCCTTCTCTCAATCCAAGTTTCCCAACCACAGGCTTCCATCCACTTTCCAAGAGAACCACCCTCTCACCATTTTGCCCTTGTTTTTGAAGTGATGCGATTACTGCAAATTCAGCCACATCCACATTAGGAACTTGGAAATTACGCAAAGTCAATTTTGCCTTTCCATCAGTTCCTAATGCTGGTGGAAAAAAATCATCCTTCTTCCCAACCACAGCTTGGGAGAAGGTGAACTTTGGACGGGAAGAAGAAGCAGAAGACCTGGGCAGTTTCTGACTTGAAACCAAAGCTTCCATTTTTGCTAGCAAGGTGTTTTGGCCAAAAGAAAAAAAGGGACCTGGAAAGCTAAGAAGTTGGAGTGGAGAAGAAAAAGAGGCGGTGTCATCTGAAGGGTGAGAGATCATCACTCTATATATATGTTTTATTTTCTAGCAATGGAAACTTAGACGCAACACGTGTCAACATGTAATTATAGAACAACATGCCTTAACTAATTGGACAAGGTTACTTATTTTTGTACTACTTTTTGCCGTGGGTCCTTATGTCCCACCTTCACGTACCCACTTGAGCTACTACATCCCAGTGAGCTACTACATCCCAGTGTTGCTGAAAATGACACCTACTAAAAAACAACCGCATGAAGTCCACAAAAATATAGTCCACACTAAAAATGTTATTGGACAAGGTTACTTATTTTTGTACTACTTTTTGCCGTGGGTCCTTATGTCCCACCTTCACGTACCCACTTGAGCTACTACATCCCAGTGTTGCTGAAAATGGCACCTACTTAAAAAAATCCGCATGTAATCCATAAAAATATAGTCGACACTAAAAAAGTTATTGATTATATTTATATTATCCATAAAAATTTTATCAATTATGATAAAGTATCGATTATATAAGTATAATCAATAGTTATTGTGGTTGTTGATTATACTGTCTATAATCGACAGTCATTTTTATCGATTATAACTAGTATATTCGACAGCCATTAATTATACCTACTATA